GTGTGTGTGTGTGTGTGTGTGTGTGTGTGTGTGTGTGTGTGTGTGTGTGTGAGAGAGAGAGAGAGAGAGGACTGACAGGAAGAGAATTCCAGACTGTCCCTGGAACTTGAGCTCAGATCTATTCCCACTTGTGGCATGGCCACTTGCTAGCTTGTCCACCTGGACCTACCATCCATTTGCTTGCCCACTGTCCATCTGGAGCTGGTCCTCCCTTTCACCTTCATAGCATCCACGTTCTTACATTTTGCCTCTACAGCAGGGTCTAGACACTGAAGTTTGACCTGTATCCCTGAATGCTTGACTGCAGAATCTGCTTGACCTCCAACAGATTGGCAACAGTTTTTAAAAATCTTTATTCCCAGAGAGACTCTTTCACAGCCCTCAGCTCCTAGACAGACAGACACAGAAACAGACAGATGATAGATATATAGATGGATGGATGGATAGATAGATAGATAGATAGATAGATAGATAGATGAATTGATATGATAGATAAAAGATGGACAGCCAGGATGCAGTCCTTTTATTCCTATCTTAATTACTAATATTAATGCTCAGATCACACATCACACAGTATGCATGTCTATACCCACCTGGCTTTCAAGAGGATCAGTATTGGCAAATTGCTGTCAATAAATCCATTATACCTGTTATTGCTATCAATAAAGTCCGATATTATAGAAAGACACAAGTGTGCTCTATGTTTCTGATAGCATGTGCTCATGACAAATACCCTTCCATGAAGAAAACAGGAAGACAAAGATCAAGCCTGGGCTTGAACTTGGGAAATTGCCAACTGAAGATCAAGGGCTTGACCTTAACTTAACTGACCCCCCACTCGCCTTAAGACAGCAGCCCCCTGCTCTCTGGGGAGGGCCTGCTTGGGAAGGCAGATCTGAGGATGCATGGAAGAAAGAGTGCCCCCTCACCCCCCGCTTGGCCAGAGAGGGAGCTGATAAGTCATGCTGGACTGGAGGGCAGTGAGAGGCAGAGTCATACTTGCAAAGATGATTTCAGTTTTCTTTTCCCTTTTGTGTGTTTTCATTTGTGACTGCAGCCAGTATCTGGTGTCCTCTGTGGAAACTCCCCCAGTCTGGGGGGTGGGCACTCGGTCTGCTGCCCTGGCTTCCTATAAAAGGTTTGCCTGAGCTGCTGAGCATCCCTGCAGAGGATCCTGAGACCGGGCGTGCTCTCCCACAGCCTCTGCCTCGGGAACCATGAAGATCTCCGTGGCTGCCCTCACTGCCATCCTCACGGCTGCCGCCCTCTGCGCTCACGCGTCTGCCTCCCCATGTAAGTCCAGGGTCCGCCTAGATGCTCACCCCATCCTGCCGCCCCAGACCTTCCCCGCCTTTCATCATAGCATGTGGACTGCCTCCACCTCATTGTGTACATTCTGATGTATGGTTGACACAGCTATCTGGCCACCCCTGTTAGAGCTCTAGGCCATATTACCGCAGGACCCCCTGATGAGCTTTTTGGGGTCTTCAAAGACTAGACCATGAATCTGCAGGCCACTCCTTCAGTGCTGGGAGTGGTGCTGGCCGTACCGGAAGACAGAGTAGCTCAAGCTGACCTTGAAAAGTGACTTACTCATATCTGTCACCACCACGGTTTCCAAGAGATGTGTAATAGTGTTCTAAGTGCCTGAGGTGTGATAGTTTCTCATTTCATAGATAGAAAAGAAATGGGGCATGCAAAAAAAATAAATAAATAAATAAATAAATAAAGTGAACTAAGTGCCTGCTGTGGGGCAGACATCTTGCAGATTTCTTTACATGTGCCGTCCTGTTTAATACTAGTCCTTCAGTGGTTGCTCTTGACTTACAGAGGGAAACAGAGGCCCAAGGACATAGAAATTCCTGTCTAAGGGTGCACACTGCTATTGCAACAAGCCCTGTCTGTCTGGGAACATAAGCGCCACAGCTCTGCTGTGGGATGACAACTGTCCTGCTCAGCGGCATCTTGAACTGACTGACCACCAAGAGCTCCACAACAGGCCAGCCAGGTCCCAGGATACGATGTGTGTTCTCAGGCCCCACCTAGGAGCCTCACTGGGAATGGAGCCTCAGCCTGGATGCTTCCCTACACTTTCTCCTACACCTCAGAGAACTGAGAGAACAAGGCTAGAGGCAGGAGGTGCAGAGCAGGAGAGAAGGATCCCTTTGGGAGCTACGGTATGGAGGAGAAAGCACACGCTTTGTTCACAGACCAGATATGGTTTGGACAGATCCTTTCAGGCTTCCGGAGAAGCCTCCACTGTGGCAGCTGTGTCCTGAGGTAGACAACAGCAGACATTGCTTCCAGGATGAATCATGGAAAGGGCACAGCAGTGCCCACTGTAACTGGCAATGAGCAAAAGGGTCTCCTTCCTTTCTTCCTTCCCCCAGATGGCTCGGACACCACTCCCTGCTGCTTTACCTACCACTCCGTGCAGCTGCCTCGTGACCATGTCAAGGAGTATTTCTACACCAGCAGCAAGTGCTCCAATCTTGCAGTTGTGTGAGTCTCAGCCCCAAGGCTTCCTCTTTGGGGTATGGAAGCCCCTCCCACACCTCTGACTACGGTCCTGCCATGATCCTTTGGGGAAGGGGGTGCACCATCCCATTCCCACTCACTCCCTAGGCTCCTCTAAGAGCCACTGCTCCTCATCTCCAGCTCAGAGCCTCAGCTGTAACATAGAAAGACTAGGCACGGTATAGAGCGCCTTCCAACTTGTGGGTCTCGACCCCTTTGGCAAATCTCTGTCTCCAAAAACATTTACATTACGACTCAAAAGAGTAACCATCTTACAGTTACAAAGTAGCAACAAGAACAATGTTATGGTTTGAGGTCCCCACAAAGAGAGGAATGTATTAAAGGGTCACAACGTTAGGAAGGTCACCTTAGGGAGGATCCTGCCTACACAGACAGATAGTTCCCAGGACACCAACCTTTGCTTGTGCAGCTTTAATTTGAGCACAGGCTGGAATGTTTTGGAGAACACCATCCGCTTCACCATCCCTCTCCAGCTAAGAGTCCAAAGCTTCCAGATTTCAAACCCAGTTCAGCTCAGCTAACCCTCTGAGGAGCTAGAGAGGATAGGTCAAGGTCAGGATCCTAATTTCAACCAAGTAAATCAAAATCCAAAAACCTATCCATTTTAGAACTTATCAGGAGATTCAGCTTTAAGGACGCACATGGATAGTTCTGGGGAAATATAATAATCCCTACCACACGGGGTGCTTACTGGCATGTCTACATGCACTGTCTCCCAATGGTGTACCCTGGCCGGCACACACAACCCTCTCCATGTACCAAAACTGAGATCCAGAGGCGTTTGCTGACTTCCTCAAAGCTGCACAGTGGGTGAGAAATGGGGTCTGTCTCTGGGCATCCCTCTTCATGCTATAAAATAAAGTCATAAGTGACAACAAGCTTAGGAAGTTTAAGATGATAACTATTTACAGGATGAAAATGGAGAGTTGGAGAAATGGCTCAGCAGTTTAGAGCAGTCATTGCTCGTGCAGAGGATCCAGGTTCAATTCCCAGCAGCCACATGATGGCGCACAATTATCTGCAACTCCAGTTCTAGGGCATCCAATACCCTCTTCTGACCTCCTCAGGCACCAGGCACATATATGGTGCATAAATGCACATGCAGATGAATACTCATACACATTAAACTAAAAGAGAAAAAGAAGAAAACAGGAAAATCATAAAGGTTCCAATAAAAGGCTGAAGAGTTTTAATCCAAAGATTTTTGTGACCCCGCCAAAGATGGATTTGGTTTCTGGTGAATCACTGAAAAATGTAATATTAATATTTAGCATTACTAAATTCAGCTCTAAAATGAGTACTTGAGCACCTATTTTGAGCAGGCAGAGATGAATAAAATTGCCATCCTTAGCTGTGGCGATTTCCTCTCGTAAGACTGATGTGTTGGACACAGAATGACTACAGCACCCTATAAAACATTACTAAATGAGAGGAGGGGGTGTGTCTAACCTCGGGGGGTGAGGGGTCAGTTCAGCAGTAATTACTGTAGGAGATGCTATTTGTAGAGAGATCCGGATAGAGAGGTGTATGTAATATGGGGTATGTCTGAGAACCACGTTCACAGGCTTCTATTTGGGTTTGCAGGGATGCTTGTAGGAAAGCAGAGAGTACCTTGAGTGTCAGGAAACTGAAGGAAAACATAGAGCTGGCAAATGACCTGGAACAGGAAAAGCCAAGGAAAGGGTCTAGATAAGAGGCTGTTAAAGTTTCCCGCCTGTGTAGTATTGTTGGCTGAGTGGTACCTGGAGGTGAGAAGAAACAAGAGTCAGGAGTCTGGGAGGATGAATCACCCAAGGTAAAGAGACTTGTGGTCAGGATCAAGAAGAAGAGATATGCTGAGGTTTCAATTCAAGGATGGAGAGGTGTGCAGGTGTGCAGGTCTCGAGGGCAAACCAAGAGAAGTTCCAGCAAGACAATCCATGGAGGAATCAGATGGAATGTAAGCAGAGGAAAGAGTCCGGGAACTGTCAATAAAAAGAGGCTGGAATACATTATCTTGGTCAGACCTAGCTATATTGCTTGTCTGCCATGTTAGAATCCTCATTTTATCATTTGGTAAACTGGGGCCCCTCAGCCTCTGGGAGGTGGTCCCAAAAGAGTAAGTAAGGCACTTCTTTCACTAGGTCACAGAGAGAACAATACTTATCCATCCCCTGGTACATAATGGGTATAAAGACATATCAACCTACTATTGTCATTACCTAAATGTGTGTGTGGTGTGTGTGTGTGTGTGTGTGTGTGTGTGTGTGTGTGTGTGTGTGTGCTTTCACGCACACGTATGTTAGGAATGAACGCAATTCATTCATCCACTCATTCATCCCATAAATGTTCACCAAGCATCAACTACATGCAGGCCTGGGGCCAGAGACTGGAAAGAAGAATACTCGAGAGTACTCAAGTGTCTTTGAGGATGCCTGCTCTTAACAGACGTAGGTGGGAAGCAAAGTTAGATGAGCAGAGGGCCCCAAAAACAGAGGAAAGAAGGGAAGGCTTAGCAAAGGGGACTTGTTCTTGGGTACCATATACTAAATAGAGGAGGAAATGGAAGCCTGTGCCATCTTGACAGCTGGAGTTGGCATCCTGACCTTTTGAGTCCCTGGCTACATGCTGAGAGGGCCAAGAAGAGCTGGTATAAGTACAATTAATACTCCTTTAAATTCATCACTCAGCACAAGGCCTGGAGAAAGGGAAAGGGCCCAGAAGAGGCCAGTGCTTGGTCTACTTAATGCTGGGTTCCAGATTCATGTGAGCTTGTGGGGAACTAACATGAACGAAATTCTGTCCAGAGCTCGGTGCCTTTAGTTCCAAAGGAGAAGAAATGTCTTCTGAAAGGAAGAAAACAGTACTGAGCTACAAAGATTCCCTATCCAACTCTCAGCCATTTCCCTTGAAGCTTTTCAGTCCCCTTTCACCAAAAGCTGCCCCAATGAAAACCCTTTTCTCTCCTACAGCTTTGTCACTCGAAGGAACCGCCAGGTGTGTGCCAACCCAAAGAAGAAGTGGGTTCGAGAATACATCAACTATTTGGAGATGAACTCCAAATAGTTTCTTGATCCTGATCCTGTATAACTCTCTCTCTCTCTCTCTCTCTCTCTCTCTCTCTCTCTCTCTCTCTCACACACACACACACACACACACACACACACACACACTGCTTGCTCTAGTCCTAACCAGCTTTGGGATGCCACTCACTCAGCAACTCCACTCACTCTTGAGAAGGCACAGATGCTTTCTTACCATAGAGATTATAACAAAGTCCTCTCCTAAAGCCTGGAAGGTGTACCGAGGCTCTGCCATGACCACAGGAAGTCTCCAGACTCTGAGCTTCAGGCTTCTCAACTTGGCCATGGTTTTAGGACCAGTAAAGAAGCCTATGTGTCTCTCAAGCAAAGAAGAAAAATAGAAATCCCATATGCAAATGTTCATATCTCAGGCCCTCATAGGCTTTGTACTGCTAAGCCAATAAATCAGCATGTCATTAAAATCTCTGATGCAAGGACAAAGCTGACTCCTGGTTTGACTTCTTCCTAAGAAGCCCTCTTCCCCACAAGTGTTAAGCATGCAGGTATCCAGGCATACACCTGGAATCAACACCAAACTTAGGTGGTATGGTCTAAGCAGTTAGCAGAGCTGGGAGCAAACGCACTCTGAAAATAGCATAGGCAGGTAAAACTGGTAAAGTGGCCAGCGACTTATCTACTAGGGCTGGCGTCTAAGCACCGTGATTCAGTACCTGTAAGTCTCCAAGGATTTATCTGGACCCCTGCCACACCAACTCCCTGCTTCCTCGGGCTTTGACTGACCCTTCTGACTTAGCCTGCCCTGTGCCTTACCTCCGGTGGATTCCTTTAACACTACTGTTTCCCATAGAGCAGGACTTAAGGGCAATTTCAGAGGCCTGAATTATCTTAGATAAGGTTCTGATAACTGTGCCAGCACCTTTGAATAGGGGGTGGCCTACCTTTCCCACCTACGTGTCCCTTCAGGTAAATACTGTGAATATCAGACATAGTCATAGCTGTACATAAAATTAGCTGAGCGCTATGTGCCAAGCATTGGCTCAGTCCCTCCCATTCAAATGCTCTTTCACTTTATAACCTTAGGATGGGCACTAACTTAGTTCTATTTACACGACGAAATGTTGTCAATTTTAAATTGTGTGTGTGTGAGACAGACAGACAACACAGATGGGGCTGGGAAGAATGGACATACGTGCCTGGTAGACATGCGGTCAGAGGAGTGGGTTCTCTTTCCATCTTCTCTTGGGGTCCAGGGATCAAGCTCAGGTAGCAAGGTTTGCACAACCAAATCTTGAATTGCTGAACCATCCCACCAGCCCAACAGTCAGGAAAATTAATGGGAAGATGGAGACTATTTGTCCAAAGCACTCACAAACAAAGTGAAAACAAGTTTAAAGTTCAGTTTCAAAACCCACTAGATCTAGTACAAATGCCTATGTTTCCTCATCTTCAGTTTACAAATCTTTAAACTTATAAAAGATTAGCAAACAAATTTTAAAAGCCCTCCACTTTCCTCTGGTATATACATCTTTTTTTTTTCTTTTTGAGCTATTTGAAGCTGCGTATGCCATGCCACTACAACCCTAAGGATTTCAGTATTTTCTACTAAAAACAAAAACATTCTGTTTAACCACAAAGTGAAAAACACAGGAAACAATGACACTATTATTTTCTAACAAACAATCATCAAATGTACATTATCACGTTTCCACTGTCCCAATAATGCCCTCTTTATAGGTATATATATATATATATATATATATATATATATATATACACACACACACACACACACACTTTATATATATGAAGAATCTGGTTCGGTAAATAAATAAATTAGTAAATAAGAATCTGATTCAGTACACACACTGAGTTTAGCGGAATGTCCTTTTAGTGTTATTTTAAAAACAAAACCAGCATCTCATCATGTAGCCCTGCCTGGGCTGGAACTGGCTATGTAGATCAGAGTAGCCTAGAACTCTCCGGAATCCACCTGCCTCTGCCTCTTGAGTGTTGTCGCTGTTTTGTTTTGTTTTGGGGGGGTTCCTACGTAGCCCTAAGTTACCTGGAATTCCCTGTATAGACTAGGGTGCCCTCCATCTATACAGACCCCCTCCATGTCCAGTGCTGAGCTAACACAGCTGACCCACCATTCCCAGACATTTGTTCTGTTTATTGAATCAGAGTCTTAGTGTATAGTCCAGACCGGCCTTGAACTTTCAGGCTGGGATTACAAGTGTGTGCTACACTGCCAAGCTAATAATTCCCCCTACATCCGGGCATTGAAATTGTTTAGAATATATTTTTGCAGGGTATTTTATCATTTAGATTTGCTTATATCCTTATAATGGGACTCAAATTAGGAATTTCATTGAGTAATATTGTCTTTATCTGTGCAGCACATAAGAGCACTGGTCAGTTTACTTAATTTTGACTCAATGATTTGTATTTTTAATTTTTAATTTGTTTATTCTAATTTATATTTATTAATGTTTTGCAGGCATGCATGTGGGTGCACCACATATGTTTTTGCTGGATTCTTTTTAACCCGGGTAATGAATGGTTGCTGCCACCATGTTGGTGCTGGAAATTGAACTCAGGTCTTTTGCAAAATCAACAGGCTTACCACTAAGCTACATCTCTAGTCCCAATAATCCATATTTTCTTTTTCTTCTTTCCTTCCTTCCTTCCTTCCTTCCTTCCTTCCTTCCTTCCTTCCTTCCTTCCTTCCTTCCTTTCTCTCTCTCTCTTTCTTTCTTTCTTTCTTTCTTTCTTTCTTTCTTTCTTTCTTTCTTTTTTTCTCTCTTTCATTTTTTTCCCAAGACAGAGTTTTTCTCTCCTGGACTCAATTTGTAGACCAGGCATACAGAGATCTGCCTGTCTCTGCCTCCCCTGGTGCCGGTACTACAGGCTTGTGCCACTGTGCCCAGATGATCCATATTTTCTTGATATGCAGTGTCATGGTTAATCTCAGTTGTCAAGATTGAATGAATCTGGAATGAACTAAGCCACTGGCCATATCTGAACTAGATTTCCCTTTTTCTTTTTTTTGAAGATGAATTGATTTTTAATTAATAAATTAATTAATAATGATTTGTCAAACTTTTATGTGTATAAGTGTTTACCTGAATGTATGTGTACCATGTGAGTTCTTGGTGCCCACACAGGTCAGTTCCCCTAGAACTGGAGTTACAAACCATTGTGAGTTGCCGTGTAGGTGCTGGGAACCAAACCCAGGTCTTCACTAATGATCTTATTTACTGAGCTACCCCTCCAGCCCCTTGATCAGCTGTAGTAAGAATTTTGGTTTCTTTACAAACCCAGTTGTGTGAATATTTTTTGTTTGTTTGTTTTGTTTTAATCCCAGGTGTGGGTTACGGTGCTACTTCTGATTGTCCACAGCAGCTGACTATGATTTGTCCCTTGCTCTAGGAGGGGTGTGATTTTGCCAGCTGAGATTAATTCGAATTTGGAATTCTGAGCACTCTTATAAACTCCTGAGCCCTGCAGAGGGGCCAGAGGTGCTCCAAAGAGTCGGCTGCTGCTCCCCAGGCTGCTGCGGTTTGTTGTGGTTTGTCGGGTTTTCAAAGAGACAAAGAGAAGAAACTGGATATCCTGTCGACAAAAGTCAAACTTACCTCCCAAGGAACTTGATGCCCCTCATCAGCAGGAAGTTTTCTAAAGACGTCTATATCCCCTTTTCCCTCTAACCTTTCTTGTCTACCTAGTGTTGAGGGGTTGGAAGAGATTGGGGTAGAGAAGGTTGGTAGATATAAGCACCCAATAAGTAGCCAAAAGGCCGGGCTACCATCAGCTTATTAACAGTAGGAAGATCCACCTTTGATGTGCATACCACCATCACACGGGATGGGCCCTGGACTGAATGTGTTATAAGCCCAAGGTGTTTTCACGGGCTGCTTTGACCTCACTGCCACAAAGGATTGTAACCTGAACGAGGAAACAACATAACACTTTCATCCTTAAGTTGCCTTTGTCAGAGCATTTTAATCACAGCAACAGAAAAGCGAATAAGACACATCGTTGGCTTCCTACCGTGTATTGACCTACTACATGCCAGCACTGTGCTAGGCACTGGGGTGGAGTAAGAAAGGGATTACATCATTGAGTCAGGGGTGGAGAGGGGGTTGGGGAAGGAAAGCCTTCAGAAATGACATGGCATTGGTATTTGAAAGATCTGGGTGACGGTTTAACAGGAAGGGAGGGAAAAGGCTACAAGGTAGATGGAACAGCATACGCAAACAGAAGAGATCTGAATGGCAGTTCCTTACCAGATAGCCTCTCGGCAGCTAGGGGGAAGGTGCCTATAAAAGAGGCTTTCCTGTCATTTCCCTGATGACCTGTGAACAATTCCTGCCTCTAACATGAGCTGACTTGAGCTTGATGGTTCACAATTATTCACCAAAGCCACTAGAATCAAGCATGTTAGAGCTCTTTGCTCGGATGGAAAGGTATCGTACGACTTGGGAGCCCAAGAACCACAGAGCTTTGAGGTGGGACAGTGTCTCCGACCCTCACAACTCTGAGAGGAAGCCTCCCAGCAGAGGCGCTGCAATCCTGAGGGAGGATATCCCTGCCGGAGCTGGAGAGCCACAATGTCACAGTTTCCTCCTCCTCCTCTTCGGCTTTGCAGCTTCCAGGCGAGGGGATGCCCAGCTGAGCTCAGGAGCTCAGGAGCCTTAGCCCCGGCTCCATTTCTTAGCTTCTTCCCTTCTTTGTTTCTTTGCTTCTTGGTTTCTCCCAGTGAGACAGTCACACTGGGCAACAAATCTCATCAAAGAGATTGGGAGGGACAAATGAAAGGATGAATCCAACGGTGGCTGCTGCCTGGAGAAAACAGAGAACTGAACAGTAAGCAGGGCTTATAGAAGATTTCTTAGGGGCGGCAGAGATTTCCATGGCGAGAATTGATGGGATTTTAAGTCCTGAGCTCAGGACTTGGTTGGTTTTCCTGTTCAAGGATTGGTGGGATTTTTGTTGTAGGGCGGGGGATTGGGCAGTCTCCCATGTCGGGGCTGGAAATGACAGAGCCTAAAAAATGATCCTTAGGACCCTTAAGGGAGTCTGAGGGACAAGGCCTGGTTGCCGGAGCTCCGCAGGCCACTGTCCTGCCTTGAGGGTTTACAAAGTTTACAAAGTTTATGGAAGGAGTCCACTCCGGGGAATGAGTCTGAGTGAATAGCCAATGAGCAGTCATGGCTTCCCTACTTTTCCGCTGAGGTAAGAAACTCGGTGACCAACTCAACCAGCAGACCAATGGAGGCCAGCAGCAGGGCTTAACAATGGAAATGGGTGTTCTGTTTCCCATGGCAACAAAAAGAGCACTTGGAAGCTTCTATCATCAGAAGTCAAGCCTCCCTGGTTTCTCTTTTGCCAGAAGAAGGGCCTCCTC